CCTCTGGTCAAGGATAGATTGACTTAAAGCAAGCTACTCAAAGACCTACAAATCAGCTTACATTCAGGTATAAAAATGTTGAAAATGCATATCAGACATTAGTATTGAAAATATAGTGGTATCACATAGCTTACAATGACCCTTGAACATACGATCTTCTAAGATTGATGAATGCTGTGACTTTTTTCATCTTTAGAAATATGCATATAAATAAATAATTGTGTCTGTTTGAGGTATTGATAGAACATTTGGTACTTGTTCATGGAGCCTCAGAAGCACTTACTTATGATCCTAATGTTGCATTATTTTCTCTAAGTAGAACTTCATTTCTGTGAGTACAGGTAGAGAGTTGGGCTAGAAAAACATATAACATATTTTAGTTATGTGAAATTTTTATGTACTTTTCTACATTCATGACATTCAAAGGCACCTGCAGTAAGATGCTGTGCTACCTTTGAACTAGCGTCTTTCTTTTATGCCATGCACAAAAGTGGACCCTCAATACTTTGTGAATTCCCTGTTTCTTATGTACCATAGCTAGGGATCCTTGTGTGGAGTGAGCTCCCCCTGGTTTTTACTGAAATCAGTGGAACTTTCAGTGTAGCTCAGCAGACCAAATTTTTACCCATTCTGATCCTCCCTACTTTGTCTTGAGCACAAATGCAACCTCTGGTAGCTTAGAGCCCACCATAAGTGTCATAATAATAACATTGACATGCTTCTGCATAAACTACATAAAGAGGTATGTGCTGCACTCATCTGTATGCAAATATGGAAATTGCTTTTGGATATTGGGCCCATCTTGGATGAGCAGAGCATCAAGAGCTGAACTCTGATGGGCCATAATAAACTAAGGTTGTTTTATACCCACTAGTGTTTTATCATAACAACATTAACATTTGTATTAAACCTCCATCACCCAACATTAATTGGCTTTTATTCTTTTGAAAATATTTATTTACTTACTTTTCTGTTATATATTTTTATTTATAGACTACTGGGGAATTGAACTTAGAGCCATGACCCAGAACTATATCCCTTAGCATTTTTAATCTTTTATTTTTAGACAAGGTCTTCTTGGACACTGAGTTCCTCAGGTTGGGCTTGAACTTGTGACTCTCTTGCTTCTGCCTCCCAGAGTACTCGGATTATACCAAGCACTGTCCCCAAACGGCTTTTACTTTCATCAGGACAGCAGTGATCTCTTTAGTTAAAAGTGATAACTATTGGCAGGCCTCTGCAGACAACTTAGGACTTCTGAGGAGAGTGCTGTGGCCTGATTGTGTTCTCTAAAATTTGTATCTTGAAATACTAACTGCCCATGTGACAGCATTTGGAGGAGGTAGCTTTTAGTGGTGATTAGGTCATTAGGGTTGGTCCCTCATACATGTGATTACTATCCTCATACAAGAGACCCAGAGAGCCCCATCTACTATATGAAGATGCAGAAAATGCCACCTATCAACCAGGAACTAAATTCTCTTCAGATACCAAATCTGTCTTGATCTTGGACTTCCCAACCTCTAGAAATTTGAAAGTGAATTTCAACTGTTTATAAACCACTTCGTCATCAATTTTTTAAAACAGAAGTCCAAGTGTACTCAGAATGGTAGTTACCCAATAGTACATAGTTTGGGTCATACTCAGCGTTACTCAGTACCTA